ATTAGGCTGGATGAGTCTAGCAGAAGCATTCTTGATGCATTAGACGGGGACAACCACTGAGAAGAGAATTAAAGTATTCAAGGCAGGAGATAACCAGGGAGTGAAAAAGTTAAAGTCTTACTAAACCCACAACAGTAAAATCAGTCTGTATATGCAGTAAAGCATGCTTTTTATATTCACTGTGGAACTTAAGGGGTTAATCCTCCGCATTGTGTAAAAACGCTGTTTTATCTTATCTTCTCTGATCTTTCCCTTCTTCCACAGTCCCCAATGATCCTGTCTTTTCTGATCCTCCGTTTCTTCCACAGTTCCCAATCCCATCTGCTAATAATACAGAGCCCTAGGAGACTTTTCACATGCTCAGTTTGATGTGTATTGATAGGTTTTTTGTTTTTTTTTTGGGAGGGTGAATGTGATCAGCACAGGGGCAATCAGCACTGTCCAAAGAGTCAGGGGTCATGCAGCCTCATAAGAGAATGAAAACTCTTCCTACAAGTTTAACCAGTGCTCGGCCCTGAGAGAAGTCACAACTCTACTATATACTGCTGATGTGAAAAGGTATTTAGAAGTTTTTATTTACTAAAATAATTGCATTTCCATGTTCCATGTGCTGTGGGAGACCAGATATAGTGAATGCAGGGTCCTGGGTTTAGTAACACTTTAAGAGGTGAATTTTGGAAATGTTACAGAGGTTAGGGCAAGATTTAGCCAGTGATTGGATGTGGGGCCCAAAGAAAAAGAAATAATCAAGGAATATACCTAGCACTTTGGCATGCGTGGAGGGACAGATAGTTGTGCTATTGATCTCGGTGGTGAAGTCAAGAGGGGAGAATCAAGGAAATATTATGAGCTGTTTTAGGCAGATTGGGGGTTTATTTACTAACACTGGAGAGTGCAAAATCAGGTGTACTTACTCATAAAACCCAATCAGCTAACAGGTTTTATTGCCAAAGCTTAATTGAACAAGATGAAGTTAGAAGCTGATTGGCTACCATGCACAGATGCACCAGAGTGAACCAGCTCTAGTAAATTTTCCCCATTGAGTTTGAGGAAGTGGTTTTAATGCGCAACTTATTAGTATGAATTTCAATTAGTGATATGTGATGAGATTCAGGGGGTGCGCTGAGGAGCCGAGAGATAGACCTGGGAGTTAGAGAATGTAGAACAGAGCAGGAGGAGTAGTAGTTGTGTCGAGACAGGTGGTAAGGTGGAAAAGATGTTTAGCGACGTTTAGCAACTTCCTCAGTGGTAATGGGGTCAGAGAAAAATATTGAGTGTGGTGGTGGACCTAGTACGTTGGTTGGAGAAATCTGGATAGTAGAGATCTCATCACAAATGTATAGATCGTGTTTTTTAAATGACTGTCAATTCCCCAAGGGAAGTAAGTTAGTGGGAGGAAAATATTGAGTGTGGTGGTGGACTTTGTATATTGGTTGGAGGAGAAAGCTGGATAGTAGAGATCTCATCACAAATTGTATTGCTCTTGTTTTTTAAATGATTGGCGAACTCCTGGGCAGTAAGTTAGTGGATGGAGACAGCTGGGGAGCGGGTGAAGTAGAGATAATGGAAGAAAAGAGTTGCCGAGGACTGGGCGAGGGTTTCAGTGAGACTGATGAAGTAGGTTTATTTGGCAGAAGAGGCGGGAGTTATTTGAGAAGGCCGGATGTATGAAGGGTAAAGTTTTTCAGGGGTCTATCTTATGCCACAGTCACTCAGGTGAACAGCTGTTTCTGGGATTTGCTGATTTGTTTCAAGTTCAGTGTATGTCTAACAAATGAAACCTTGCTTTGGGACCCAGTTTGAAGGATCTGGAGACAAAAACAACCTGGTTTAGCCTTGGAGTTAAATGCCTGCTGGGAATGAAAAGACAATTTCCTCTGTGTCGATGGACCTGGTTTACCAGAAGAGACCCTCTTCTTTTTGTGGAAGAAATGTAATTTTTCCACCTGTGATCTTCTTGATGTAGATATCCAGAGTTTCCCATAAAAGGTTTTCCTCTTCAAAAGGCATCCTGTCCATTTTTTTTCTTAAAGATTGGTTCAGCAGAGTAGCATTTTAGCAAGAAAATTCTCTGCAGAGTCAATAAACGATAATTGGTGGAGTGCATCATGCCATCCACCCTGAATTGCAAAGCTACTGGAAATAATTCCAAATGACCCAGGAAGGATGGGCTACCTCTAATACTTCTTTGATTTCTATCCAAGTGCTTGGACCATACTTTGCTCAAGATTTTCTTATCCCTATCTGGGCCAACTACAAAACCTATTGTGGTTGCCATGGCAGTGTGTCAGGAACTCAAGAGTTTTCCTACAGGGGTTCTGAAACGTAGGCAAATCCTCAACTGGGAGCATGAGAGATTTACTAAGGAAAGCGATATCTGGGCCTGCCACGGGAACATCTATTTTTTTTGGAGAATTTCTCCTCCAAAGGATATTTTTGTGCAAAGCATTTAGGAGGAGCATAAACCTTTTCTGAATGTTTTCAATCTTTGTACAAAACATCCTTGACTAAGGCATGAACCAGAAAGGCATTTAGAGGTTTCTTTTGTTTTCTAGAGTCTATGTTGGTTATTTTGGGGTTCTAGCAGAGGCTAGCTTTAGAAATTTATGGACTTGCTGAAAAAGCACCAAAATGGTGTCTTTTAGTTATAGTGATAACCAAGTGGAAGGACCTTTTTACACAGATGAATCATTTGAGGCAGTGGAAAAATCTGCCCTGATTATGTCCTCATCCTCTAAAGCTGACCAGACAGAATACTCTGAATCAGATTGTTGAGAGGAAACTGACAGGCTGTGGGCCCCAGCCTTTTTAAGCTGATTTTTTTTTTTTAAGTCGCTATCTTCCTAAGAGAGGACATTTGAAAGAATTCTTCTTTGCTTTGATAAGAAGAATATGGTGCTGCTCCTCAGTCAGACGTTAAGGATAGTCCTGACTGAGGGAAAGAAGGTGAAGCCCCTGTAACCCTGGTCTCCAGTGAGACAAAAGCTTACGGCCCATTTAAACTCTCCCCCCCCCCCCAGAGTCCTCCATGTTGCCCCCATGGGGCACTCACACCCCTCCCAGAATGTAGCAGGTTTGCTCAGTGTATGGTCCCCAGTTTGTGAATGTCTGTCTGTGACCTTAATAGTGATCTGGTCGTTGTCATGTGCCGATGGCAACACACATGTTGCACTCTGTACGTAGGTGAATCCTCCCAATCCCATGATATAGGAAATGGTATTGCTGGGGCGTGGTCATGGTTATAAGGAATCAATAATTCAATAATTGACCTTTTGTAGGAGAAACTCATTACTGACTGTAGATTTAAACAGGAAAGTATTTTTTTAACTAATAGTGTAAGTGTACGTACCCTTATTGGACCATGATGCCCTTTCAGGCATCCCTGGTAAGCCACATAACCTATCCTTGCTTTGCTGAGACTATGCATGTGTCCATTCATTTCATTGGAAAAGTAAGACACTACTCTGATTGGACTGTTCTATATTTTTTTTTAACAAAAGTCCAAAATCCAAAACAACCTTTATAATTGGAAAAACAAGGATAGTATCTGCTTCTAATAGAGCATATTGTTTTCTCTAGGAATGCAGATGCATTTTAGGATATTGAGCTCAGCTTTATATGACCCAGTGTAAGGATACATACCATGTTAAACCTTCAGACTTCAGAAAGACCCAATTCAAATCAGCCATTTATGTACTATTAGCTGCAAAACAAACTATAGCAAGAGCTTGGAAGACACAATTCACACATTCAATGGACATTTGACAGTGCATACACATCTTTTTTATCAATAAAAAAACTTACAGGATACTCAAAAATTTTCTAGCAGTATGGTTCCCATGGATACAACATGCCCAACCTTCATTACCAACGACAAGCTATGCCTTCCTGTAGGTTATGTACCTTAAGCGGGATGAACTTCAATCCATGCATGGGCACTGCGGTTGTACAGAAGTTGATCTACTAATCGACTTCTGTGCAACCGCCGTCAGATTTTCCTTGCTTGATGATCAGAGCTGCAGGCTATAGTCTCCTTGCTCTCAGAATACAATAGTTCAGTGGGAAGATTCCCCATCTACATCAAGTGTGTGGAAGGGGAAATTGAGTCAGTGTTTTTCATTCAGATCTGGTTCACACTAATGCGGTGCAGAAAATGCAGCGAATCCTGTGCATTTCCCGCACCACATTGCAATTGCACAGTGTCCATGTGAACTGGTGCAGGTTAAATGTTAAATGAATGACACCCCCAAGACAAATCGCAAAACAGAGTGCGATTGCCAGAAATCAGATTGGATGTTCACACCCATGCAATGCGAATCAGGTGTGGCCACGCACTGCACAAGTGTGAACCCTAGACTCAATCCGCTGGAAATCTTTACCATTAGTCTGCTTTCACACTGATCCGTTTTTCTTCTGCTTTTGCATTAAAAAAGAAAAATAAGTGGCAATGTAATCCTATGAAACTATTCACACTGATTAATTGGGGGTCCACTGTGTTTAGTAAAATCCTGTTTGGTGTGGATAAAAAAATGCACCTCCACATTGATATGAATGGAAACCACATCCCGCGTTGCATTTTTTTTAATGCAGTTTTTGAGTCATATGTCATGTATAAAATGCACTATAAATAGCAAAAACCCATATGTATGGATCAGTCTGAAAGTAGCCTTACTCATCAAGGAGACATGCAGTGTTTCTGTATTTCTTTATTATAGAATCAGTAGTTGAGTGTTACTTCTTTAATTTTAATTGTGTGAATACTAGTAATAACAATTTGCCTCATGTTGTAAACATATCTTGCATAGTAAACAGACATATATGATTAAAAAAACAAGCACAGCAAAGTGTTGGAGACAAATCCAACCAATCAGAAGTGGATTTAATTAACCTGCCCTCTCTGCACTGTTTGGAATCACAACAGTTTTTTGATATTTCATTATTTTAGTAGGGTGTTTTCTGCAGGACTTCCTTGATCCTGGGTGTCAAAACTGTGACTCCATTTAGCCTTCTGAGAACTGAAGATACAAAGATTCTAGCTCTGGATCCTTAAAGCTTGGTACAAAATTAATTTTCAGAATTTCACTAAAACCTTCATTTAGAGATGGTGCCACATATTTGCTCCTGTACAAATACAAAAAGATATATACGCAGTTGATATATATACACACACACATATCAGCTAAAAAAAAAAAATGATTATTTTCATAACTGTCAATGGTCTACTCTGTCTAGGCCCTACTGCTAGGTACAGCATCCTCAAATGAATGCTACAGTCTTACAAAAGAGAACAATGTGATGCTCCTCCTTTACTGCCCAATCAGCAGTCTGGGGGACTAGGTTTCTCGATCAAGGTGAACTGATACATTGTACAGGAATATACAGGATCTGCTTATGTTGCCAGGCAAAGCTGGAAGTATCTCAAGAGTAGCAGAATAGTAATAAAAATATTTTGCTTGCTAATACAGTTTACATATATGTACGGAGCTGTGCAAACAATTCTGTATAGTGGGACTGCCTTATAAAATTTCATTTCATAAAAGTTCATTAATGTTTTCAATATTCTTAGCAGTAAACAGAAAAAAAAAAATATTTGGTGTGACCAAACTTTGCCCTAAAAACAGAAACAATTGTTAGATGTACATTTGTATGCAATTTAAGGTACGTGTGTGATAGGTTCAGGCTAAATGACATCAAGATCAGGACTCTGTGGGGACGGTAATATCCATAGCAGGATTCCCCCAATTTATCTTTTTGTTGCAGATAGTTTTTCTTGATGCTTTTAACTATGTGTTTGAGGTCATTGTCAAGCTGCAGAATACAGTTGGGACCAATCAGATGCTCATTCGATGGTACTGCATGATGAAAAAGGAGGCCGTCATCAATTTTGATCAATATATGAGAAACGTGCTGGATCGGCAACCTGTCACACATTAGTGTAAAAATCTCTCTGTGCAATAAAATGTACTTCAGACAGTTAAGAGGATGTATTATGCTGGCCATACATGGTTCAATTATTTTCGTTCAGCCAGGGGGCTGAATGAAAAAAAAAAACTGAACCAATTCCCCCATCCACACTTTAGAGGTGGATGGAAGAATCCTCCCTACTGTACCAATATGCTGACAGCAGAGACACTCCCCCGCTGTTAAAAGATGCTCGACCAGCACTGTAAGCAGTAGGCTGCAGAACTGGTCTGTGCATTCTGTCAGTTCTGTTCAGCCGCAGTGGCCACACATGGACTGAAATTCGTCTGGTCCAAGCTGAGTTTCAAACCACATATGGCCAGCTTTCCCACCCTCTCGGATAATCATAATTTGCCTAATCCTCACTGGGGTGCACAGCATTGTGCTGTTGATTAGGGACAGTACTGGGTTTAAGGCTGTCCTTACTCTTAAGCAGCAGAGACACAAATCTGCAACATCATAAAGCACTTCATAGCATGTTTATCAAAAAAATATCTACAGTTGGAGAGTGCAAAATCAGGCTCACTTCTGCATAGAAACCAATCAATCAACTTCTAACCTGAGTTTGTTCAGTTAAGCTTTGGCGATAAAACCTGAAAGCTGATTGGTTTCTATGCAGAAGTGAGCCTGATTTTGCACTCTCTAGTTTTAGTAAATAAACCCCACAGTGTACTAAAAGTATTTAGACCTCTTCACTTTTTAAAATTTTGTTATGTTGCAGCCTGATACTATAGTTGTTTAAATTAATTTTTTTCCACATTAATCTACACTCAGTACCCCATAATGACAAAGTTGAAACAGAATTTTAGAAATGTCTGAATTTATTAACCCTTTTGTCACCAGGTCTGTACATTGCATGGACCTGACAGCAGGGGGTTTTATACACAATTCAGTGGCTGCAGCCACTCAGATTTTGTATAATACTGAAAGGCAGACCTGCCAGGTGGATGCACTCGGGCAGCTGCGCTGTCACCCGATCGCATCCACAGCCCCTAGTACTGGTGAACCCCCCCTAATGCGCACTCGAGCTCCCACCATGCCCTGGCTTGCCCATCTGTGGCCCTAGAGATCACCACGGCAGGTGCCGGAGGGTGGAGGGGAGAGAAGAGAGTTTGTCCGCTTCCCTCCCCTTCTTTCTGTGACCCGGAAGGTGACGTGTATGAAGATACTTCCGGGTCACGGATGTCACTTTCTCTGGCTGGAATAGACGGGGATACATGTATTGCAATGCGATCTGCATTGCAATACATCTAGTGGACACCAGAGGAGACATGTAGGGTCTTTAAGACCCTGCATGTTGTAAGAGAACCTGTCACCTAAAAATTATCACACAGGGGACTTTGTGTCCACTATGTGATGAAGAAAAAAAAAAGTAAAGTAAAAAAAATTTTTTTTTTTTTAATAGCAATCAAATAAAGGTACACCCAAGCACATATAATCCCCGTCCCCCCAAAAAGTTTGAGACCCCACATAAATGAGCATAAACACACGTCAGGGTGCTTATGCGTGAAAACGTTGATTGCGATACATGTTACATATCGCAGTGCATGCCAGAGTGAGAGCAATAATTCTAGAACAAGATCACCTCTGTAACTCTAAACTGACGACCTATAGGGGCTTTTGAAGCATCGCCTATAGAAAATACAGGGTATTTCATAGGCGCACACAAATTTAAGGTTTGGCATGTTGGGTATCTATTTACTTGGCATTACCTCATCTTTTATAAGTTACCAAAAATGTGGGTAATTTATTGCGTTTGCCCTAAAATACACTTTAGTCCGTTTTGTTACTTACATTTTTTTGCGATTCCTAGACCTTTGCGGTAATATCGTGTGACATAAAAAATTGGAACTGCAACTTTTTTTTATTTTCTAGAGTGTCTGCTTTCAGAAAATATATAATGTTTGATTGGGTGTAATCTTCAGGCCTGAAACAATTTTTTAAACATGTGTGCAAAAAAAAATGCTCTGGCAGCAAAAGGGTTAAAAAGAATAAAAAACTGAAATATCACATTGGCATAAGTATTCAGACCCTTGACATTTAGCTCTGATACCTCTCACTTTGTCTTAATCATTGCTGAGATGTTTCTACACCTTGATTGGAATCCACCTGTGGGAGATTAAATTGATTGGACATGATTTGGAGAGGCACACACCTCTCTATAAAAGGCCTCACAGCAGACAATGCATACTGTATCAGAGCAAAAGCCATGAGGTCAGATCTGGGAAAGGCAACAAAAAATTTCTGCTGCACTGAAGGTTCCTAAGAGCACAGTGGCCTCCATAATTCTCATATGAAAGAAGTTTGGCACAATCAGGACTCTGCTCAGTTTGGCCAGGCTGCCATCTCTTAGAAATCAGGGGAGATGGGCTTTAGTAAGAGAGGTGATCAGGAACCTGATTGGTCACAGAGTTCCAGAGATCCTGTGTGGAGATGGGACAAAGTTCCAGAAGGACAACCGTCACTGCAGCCCTCCACCGATCTGGGCTTTATGGTAGAGTGGCTAGGCAGAAGCTTCTGCTCAGTTTGGAGCTTGCAAAAAAAAAACCTGAAAAATTCTCAGACTGGCCTCAATTCTAAATGTTATGTTTGACGGAAACCAGGCACCATTCATCACCTGCCCATTACCATCCCAACAGTGAAGCATGGTGGTGGCAGCATCATACTGTGGGGTGTTTTTCAGCATTAGGGACTGGGAGACTGCTCAGTGTTGAGGGGAAGCTGAATGGTGCAAAGTACAGAGATACCCTCAATGAAAACCTGTTCCACAGACTGGGCTGAAGGATCACCTACCAACATGACAAGGATCCTAAGCACACCGAAAAGACAACACAGGAGTGGCTTAGGGACAACTACAGTTAGGTCCATATATATTTGGACACAGGCACAATTTTAGTTTTTTTCAGGTATTTACCAAAACATATTCAAGCTATAGTTATATAATGGATATGGGCTGCAAGTGCAAACTCACAGGTTTAATTTGAGGGTATGTACATCCAAACTGGAGGAAGGGTTTAGGAATTTCAGCTCTTAAAAGTAGCCATCCCCCATTTTTCAAGGGACCAAAAGTACTTGGACAATTGAATATAATCATAAATAAAATGTTAATTTTTAATATTTTGTTGAGAATTCTTTACTGGCAATGGCTGCCTGAAGTCTGGAACCCATGGACATTACCAAAGACTGGGTTTCCTGCTTTCTTATGTTTTGCCAGGCTCTAACTGCAGCTGTCTTCAGTTTTTCTTTGTTTGTGGATCTTTCTGCCTTTAGTTTTGCCTTCAGCAAGTAAAATGCATGCTAAATTGGGTTGAGATCAGGTGACTGACTCGGCCATTGCAGAATATTCCACTTCCTTTCCTTCAAAAGCGCCTGGCTTCCTTTTGCAGTGTAATTTGGATCATTGTCCATCTGTACTGTGAAGCGCCGTCCAATCAACTTTGCTGTATTTGGCTGAATCTAGGCTGACAGTATATCTGTAAACACTGCAGAATTCATCTGGCTGCTTCTGTCTTCTGTCACATCATCAATAAACACCAATGACCCAGTGCCACTGGAAGCCATGCATGCCCATGCTATCACACTGCCTCTACCATGTTTTACAGATGACGTTATGTGCTTTGGATTATGAGCTGTTCCAAGCCTTCGCCACACTTTTTTTCTTCCCGTCATTCTGGTACAGATTAATCTTAGTTTCATCTGTCCAAAAAATGCTTTTCCAGAACTGGTCTGGCTTTTTTAGATGTTTTTTGGCAAAGTCTAATCTGGCTTCTCTATTCTTCAGGCTTTTGAATGGTTTGCACCTTGTGGTGAACCTTTTGTATTTACAATCAAGAGAAGACTTCACGAGAGCAGACTTTGACAATGATGCGCCCACCTTCTGGAGAGTGTTCTTCACTTGTCTGGATGTTGTGAATGAGTTTTTCTTTACCATAGAGAGGATCCTGCGATCATCTACCACTCTTGTCTTCTGTGGACATCCATGCCATTTTATGTTGCTGAGCTCACTTGTGTGTTCTTCTTTCCTCTTAATGTACCAAACTGTTGATTTGGCCAATCCTAATGTTGCTGCTATCTCTCTGATGGATTTGTTTAGTTTCTGAAGCCTTACAATGGCCTGTTTCACTTGTATGGACAGCTCCTTTGAAAGCATGATGTAGGTTCACAGCAATAGATTCCAAATGCAAATACCACACTTAGAATCAACTCCAAACCTTTTACCTGCTTAATTGGTGAAGAAATAACGAAGGCGTAGCCCACACCTGGCCATGAAACCGCTTTTGATTCAATTGTCAAATTACTTTTGGTCCCTTGAAAAAGGGGCATGGTGGCTACTCTTAGAGCTGTAATTCCTAAACCCTTCCTCAAATTTGGATGTACATACACTCAAATTAAACCTGAGAGTGTGCACTTTCAGCCCATATCCATTATATAACTATAGCTTGAATATGTTTTGGAAAAAAACTAAAACTGTACCTGTGTCCAAATATATATGGACCTAACTGTATGTGATTATCCTAGAGTAGCCCAGCCTGAGCCCTGACTTGAACCCTATTTAACATTCTGGAGAGAGAGACTGAAAATGGCTGCCCACCGACAGTCCTCATCCAACCTGACTGAGCTTGAAAGGATTTGCAAAGAACAATGGAAGAATATTCCCCAATCCAGGTGTGCAAAGCATGTCACGTCAATCCCAAAAAGTCTTGTGGCTGTAATTGCGGTCAAAGGTACTGAGTAAAGTGTCTGAATACTTTAGTACATGTGATATTTTGTTTTTTTTCTGTTTAATAAATTAACAGGCATTTCTTAAAGTCTGTTTTCACTTTGTCATGATAGGGTACTGAGTGTAGATTAATGAAAAAAAAAAAAATTTAAATAACTGTAATATCGGCCTACAACATAACAAAATTGAACAAAAGTAAAGGGGGTCTGAATACTTTATGAATGCACAATATAACCACTTTATTCAGATTTCCTTTAGCCACAAAGCTTCCCCCTGGTTTTGATGGAGTTAAAACTTACTTGTAGCTGTTGATCACCATGTCGTTTACTGAAACATGTCCTTTACCAGTGTAAGTCATCTCTCGGAACTGCAAACAGTAAAGTACAGCATTGTGGCAACATATTAGAGATCACAGTTAGACTTCAGACTGCCATCTTCTCCCACACTTACCCTATTATTGTGTTTGGCCTGCTCAATGGTAGCAATGAAGAGGAAACACCGAGCTGGAACGCCTGCTTTCTTTGCACAGCTGATGTATCTAAAATATTACGCCATGTTATTGGAATACCATATTATTCTAAACATCCCCCGGATTCTAGCACAGATTGATTCCCAGAAGTAGAACCAGCTCTTGGACAGGTATAGACCCCATTCACACTTCAGTGTTTTTCTGCTTGTTTCCCTAAGCTTGACAATGCACAATCACAATCTTTCTAATTGTGCCTGTTCACACCTGTACACTCTACAACCACCTAAGCTTTTTTTTGAGTGTATTCTGACATTTTTGATCCTATAGGCTTTAATAGGAATGCCTGTAAAAGTGCCATACATGCATTTTTTCACCTGAAGAAAATTCTCTTTTCCTATAGAACTGCTTTCCTCCCTTTTCTAAGCCTGGGTAACAAGTTATAAAGCTTGATACATGTGTAAACGCCTAAAATAAACAAACAATTCAATCACCTGCATTCACAACTGAGCAGAGTGTATTCCTGGTGATTCTGAAGACCTGTACTTAAAGCGTTCGTAAACCGCAGCTTTTAAACCCCCCCCCAAAAAACCTTGCAAGAGAATGGTATAATGTGCTAGTATGCATCGCATACCAGCACAATATGAAGTACTTACCTTAAAACAAAGCCCTCCAGCCCTGCGCTGTCACCGCTGACAGGGCTTCCATCTTCACCCAGTGTTCTTTCCGGTCCTTCCGTCCATGATGATGTCACTCCAGTGCATGCGTACAAGAGTTTCGGATGCAGTACGGAGCTCTGAAGGGATGGCACAGGTATGCCATCTCTTCAGAGTACATGCATCGGTGACATCACTGGCTTCATATAATGTGAACATCTCAAACTGTGCAAGTTTAGGAGCTCTTCACTGTACTTATAGGTAAGCCTTATTATAGGCATACCTGTAGGTACAAGTTCTAAGAGAGACTTTACTGCCACTTTAACTGCACACATGCCTGCCCTGGAACTAGCGTTTTTTGCTAATTTTTGAAGCTTTCAGCACTCTTTGGCCATGACAGGGTTAACCTTGTATGGTCCGTGGCTTTACACTGGGGAAAATTATTATTTGATCTCCTGCAGTTTTTGTAAGTCTGCCCACTTACAAAGAAATGAAGGGTCTATAATTTTTTATTATAGGTGTATTTTAAATTATAGAGACAGAACATCAACCAAGAATCCAGAAAAAACACATGATACAAATGTTATTTTCTTCACTGAACTGCAACTCAATTTATAAGTATTTGATCCCCAAGCAAAACATGACTAAGTACTTGGTAGAGAAACCCTTGTTGGCAAGCACAGAGGTAACATATTTCTTGTAGCTGGTTACCAGGTTTTGCACACATCTCAGGAGGGATATTGGTCCACTCTTCTTTACAGATCTTCTCTAAATTGTTAAGGTTTCTTGGCTGTTGCTTGGCAAACCAAAGTTTCTGCTCTCCTCCATAAATTTTTTATAGGATTAAGGTCTGGAGACTGGCTAAAGCCACTCCATGACCTTAATGTGCTTCTTCATGAGCCACTCCTTTGTTGCCTTGGCACTAAGTTTTTGGTCATTGTCTTGCTGGAAGACCCATCCATGACCCATTTTCAGTGTTCTGGCTGAAGGAAGAAGGGCCTCATCCAAGATTTTACAATACATGGCCCTCAATGAGACAAAGTTGCCCTGTACCTTTAGCAGAGAAACAGCCCCAAAGCATGTTTCCACCTCCGTGCTTGACTGTAGGGATGGTGTTCTTGGGGTCCTAGTCAGCATTTGTCTTCCTCCTCGACACGAGTAGAGTTAATGCCAAAGAGCTTAATTTCTCCCAATCATTCTCTGAATCATTTAGATGTTCATTGGCAAACTTCAGACGGACCTGTACATGTGGCTTCTTGAGGAGGGGGGCTTTGCAGGCGCTGTAGGATTTCAATCCATGACGGCGTATTGTGTTATCAATGGTTTGTTTGGTGACTGTGGTCCCAACTGCCTTGAGATCATTCCTCCCGTGTACTTCTGGGCTGATCGCTCACTTTTCTTATGACCATCCTTACCCCATGAGGCTAAATCTTGCATGGAGCTCCAGACTGAGGGTGATTGATGGTTATTTTGTAATTCTTCCATTTGTGAATAATCGCTCCAACAGTTGTCTCCTTCTCACCAAGCTTCTTGCCAATGGTCTTGTACCCATTCCAGCCTTGCAGGTCTACCTTGTCCCTGATGTCCTTGACAGCTCTTTGGTCTTGCCCATGATGGTGAGGTTTGAATGGAAGAAAGATTGCGGACATGTATCTTTTATACACCTAACCAGTTGTCCGTAGGAGCACCTTCTTAAATTGACAGGACTAGTCTGTGTACCACAAGAGCACATAGCCAGTCTTTGGGAGCCAGAATTATTGTTAGTTGGTAGGGGATCAAATACTTATTTTACTCACTGAACTGTAACTCAATTTAAAACATTTGTTACATAGCTAGTCTGGCTAAAAAAAGACAAACGTCCATCCAGTTCAACTATTAAAAAAAAAAAAAAAAAGTTATAATCCTATACCCACAGCTGATCCAGAGGAAGGCAAAAAAACCCAGCAAAGCATGATCCAATTTGCTCCTGCTGGGAAAAAAATTCCTTCCTGATCCCCTGAGAAGCAATCAGATCAGTTGATCCCTGGATCAACTTTACCTATAAATGTTAGTATCCAGTTATATTCTGTGCATCTAAGAAAGAATCCAGGCCTTTTTTAAAGCAATCCACTGAGCTGGCCAGAACCAACTCTTGAGGGAGTCTATTCCACATTTTCACAGCTCTCACTGTGAAGAAACCTTTCCGTGTTTGAAGATTACATTTCTTTTCCTCCAGACGTAAAGGAGTGCCCCATTGCCCTCTGTGATGACCTCAGGGTGAACAGCTCTACACCGAGTTCACTATATGATCCACTGATGTATTTATACATGTTGATCATATTCCCCCTTAAACTCCTCTTCTCAAGAAAGAATACATTCAGTTCCTCTAATCTTTCCTCATAACTGAGCTCCTCCATGCCTCTTATCAGTTTAGTTGCCCTTCTCTGTACTTTCTCAAGTTCCCCAATGTTCTTTTTGTGAATTGGTGCCCAAAACTGAACTGCATATTCCAGATGAGGTCTTACTAATGATTTGTACAGGGGTAGAATGATAACTCTCTCTGGAGTCTATACCTCTTTTAATACAAGAGAGGATTTTGCTCGCTTTAGAACCCGCAGCTTGGCATTGCATGCCATTATTAAGCTCGTGATCTACCAAAACTCCCAGATCCTTCTTCTCCACCATTGATTCCCCCAGTTGTACTCCCCCTAGTATGTATGATGCATGCGTATTCTTAGCCCCCAAGTGCAGAACCTTACATTTATCAACATTAAACCTAATTTGCCACATAGTTGTCCAATTAAACAGTGCATTGAGGTCAGCTTGTAAATTGAAGACATCCTGTAAGGACGTTATTCCACTGCACAGCTTGGTGTCATCTGCAAAAACTGAAATGGATTTTTAATCCCAGACCCTATATCGTTTATAAATATATTAAAAAGTAAGGGTCCCAACACTGAACCTTGGGGTACACCACTGACAACCTTAAACCATTCAGAGTATGAATCATTAACCACTATTCTTTGAATATGATCTTTTGAGCCAGTTATCTTTTTTTATTGTGTTTTTTTTCTGGATTTTTGGTTGATATCCTGTCTCTATCATTTAATATACAGTGCCTTGAAAGTATTTATACCCCTTGAAATTTTCCACATTTTGTCACGTTACAACAAAAAACATAAATGTATTTTGTTGGGATTTTATGTGATAGACCAACACGAAGTGTCACATAATTGTGAATTGGATTTACAAATACTGTATTTTTTGCTCCACAAGATGTACTTCCCCCCCCCCCCCCCCCTAAAAAAAGGGGGGGGGGGGATGTCAGTGCGTCTTATGGAGCGAATATGGAGCAGCCGGTCCGGTATTCCCGTCGCCACCTTGTCAGAATACCGGGCCGGCCGCTCGGCTCTTCTCTGCAGCATATCCTTACCTGTTCCTCGGTCCAGCAATGTACAGTCTTCCGGCGCCGGCATCATTAGTGTGGGCATCCGGATGCCCACACTAAAGGGAGGACAACTCTGCGTAAGTGGGAGCGGGTACCTGTCAAATTCAGGTACCTGCTCCCCCTCCTTTCCCAAAGGTCTGCAGTCTCTTGGTCATCCCCTGGACTGTGTCCGCAGTCTCTGATCATCCCCTGGACTGTCTGCAGTCTCTTGGTCATCCCCTGCACTCCAGGCCTGCACTGTCTGCAGGCTCTCGGTCATCCCCTGGACTGTCTGCAGGCTCTCGGTCATCCCCTGGACTGTCTGCAGTCTCTCGGTCATCCCCTGGACTGTCTGCAGTCTCTCGGTCATCCCCTGGACTGTCTGCAGTCTCTCGGTCATCCCCTGGACTGTCTGCAGTCTCTCGGTCATCCCCTGGACTGTCTGCAGTCTCTCGGTCATCCCCTGGACTGTCTGCAGTCTCTCGGTCATCCCCTGGACTGTCTGCAGTCTCTCGGTCATCCCCTGGACTGCCAGTCTCTCGGTCATCCCCTGGACTGTCTGCAGTCTCTCGGTCATCCCCTGGACTGTCTGCAGTCTCTCGGTCATCCCCTGGACTGTCTGCAGTCTCTCGGTCATCCCCTGGACTGTCTGCAGTCTCTCGGTCATCCCCTGGACTGTCTGCAGACTGTCCGCCTGGACTGTCTGCAGTCTCTCGGTCATCCCCTGGACTGTCTGCAGTCTCTCGGTCATCCCCTGGACTGTCTGCAGTCTCTCGGTCATCCCCTGGACTGTCTGCAGTCTCTCGGTCATCCCCTGGACTGTCCGCAGTCTCTCGGTCATCCCCTGGACTGTCCGCAGTCTCTCGGTCATCCCCTGGACTGTCCGCAGTCTCTCGGTCATCCCCTGGACTGTCCGCATCTCTCGGTCATCCCTGAACTGTCCGCAGTCTCTGGTCATCCCCAGTACTGTGTCCGCAGTCTCTTGTCCCCTGTACTGGGCAGTCTCTGGTCATCTCCTGTACTGTGTCCGCAGTCATCTCCTGTACTGTGTCCCAGTCTGTACTGTCCCAGTCTCTGGGCATCTCCTGTACGGGGTCCGCAGTCCCTGGGCATCTCCTGTACGGGGTCCGCAGTCTCTAGACATCTCCTGTACTGTGTCCGCAGTCTCTGTTCATCTCCTGTACTATGTCCGCAGTCTCTGGTCATCCCCTGTACTATGTCCGCAGTCTCTAGTCATCTCCTGTACTATGTCCGCAGTCTCTGTCATCTCCTGTACTATATCCGCTGTCTCTGGTCATCTCCTGTACTATATCCGCAGTCTCTGGTCATCTCCTGTACTATATCCGCAGTCTCTGGTCATTTCCTGTACTATGTTTGCAGTCCATTGGTTCAGAATATTTTTTTTCTCGTTTTTCTCCTCTAAAACCTAGGTGCGTCTTATGGAGCGAAAAATACAGTAAATATCTGAAAAGTGTGGTGTGCATTTGTATTCACCCCCCGAGTCTATACTTTGTAGAAACACCTTTCACTGCAATTACACTGCAAGTCTTTTTGAGTATGTCTCTACAAGCTTTGCACATCTAGAGAGTGAAATTTTTGCCCATTCTTCTTTGCAAAATAGCTCAAGCTCTGTCACATCGGATGGACAGCATCTGTGCACAGCAATTTTCATCTTGCAACAGAACCTCAATTGGATTTAAGTCTGGACTTTGACTAGGTCAAAGCACATGAATATGCTTTGATCTAAAACATTCCATTGTAGCTCTGGCTGTATGTTTAGGGCCGTTGTCCTGTGAGAAGGTGAACCTCTGCCCCAGTCTCAAGTCTTTTGCAGAGGTTTTCTTCTAAGATTGCCCTGTATTTGGCTCCATCCAGCTTCCCATCAATTCTGACCAGCTTCCCTGTCCTTGCTGAAGAAAAGCATCCCCACAACATGATGCTGCCACCATGTTTCACAGTGGAGATGGTGTGTTCAGGGTGATGTGCAGTGCTAGTTTCCCGTTAAACATAGCAGTTTGGTTTTAGGCCAAAGAGTTCAATTTTGGTCTCATCTGACCAGAGCACCTTCAATGGCTTTTTTTTTCTTGCCACTCTTCCATAAAGGCCAAATTTGTGGAGTGCACAACTAAATAGTTGTCCTGTGGACAGATTCTCCCACCTGAGCTCTGGATCTCTGCAGCTTCTCCAGAGTTACCATGGGCATCTTGGCTACTTCTCTGATTAATGCTCTCCTTGCCCAGCCTGTCAGTTTAGGCGGACAGCCATGTCTTGGTAGGTTTGCAGTTGTGCCATACTCTTTCCATTTTCGGAAGGTGGATTGAACAGTGCTCCGAGAGATGTTCTAAGCTTGGTATATTTTTTTATAACCTAACCCTGCTTTAAACTTCTCCACAACTTTATCATTGACCTGTCTGGTGTGTTCGTTGGCCTTCATGATGCTGTTTGTTCACTAATGTTCTCTAACAAATCTCTGAGGGCTTCACAGAACAGCTGTATTTATACTGAGATTAAATTACACACAGGTGGGCTTATATTTACTAATTAGGTGACTTCTGAAGGCAATTGGTTTCATTAGATTTTAGTTAGGGGTATCAGAGTAAAGGGGGCTGAATACAAATGTATGCCACACTTTTCAGACATTTGTAAAAAAATTTGAAAAACTATTTATCATTTTCCTTCCACTTCACAATTATATGCCCCTTTGTGTTGGTCTATCACATAAAATACATTTATGTTTTTGGTTGTAACATGACAAAATGTGGAAAATTTCAAGGGATATGAATACTTTTTCAAGGCACTGTATACCTATGATAAAAATTATAGATCCTTAATTTTTTTGTAAGTGGGCAAACGTACAAAGTCTGCAGGGGAACAATTAATTATTTTCCCCGCTGTATACTCTTGTCTGTGACTTTGTATTGTACACATAGAGGACAAAATACCTCCGTGAGATGCTAAAATCTGATCAGCTGTCATAATATTATAGCCCAGCGCAGGAATTTGTCCATCTCCGTTATATAGCTACATACATGGATCAAAATTCGACTGGTCCCTGCTGAACCAGCTAAATTTTGATCCATGTATGGTTGGCTTAAAGGACACAAAAGCACAGTGCCCACAAGCATGCAATAATCCTAAATGTGTGGGGTGCTGAAGATTCTGCTGGAGATCAAAGCAAAAAGAAGGTGTCCCACTTATCATGGAGGCAATAGCAGGAGGTGACAGAGTTACTTTAAGTTGTAGAAAATACACCAACTGGTTAAGCCAGCACACCCACCGGCCACGGGACTCCACATCTGGATTAGTATTATCGATAATGATGCTCTTGCCATTTTTCAGCGCTTCTTCACATGCTGCTACACACTTCTGCCATGTTCCAAGTGTGTCCTAAAACACACATCAGGAGTACAGATTAGAAGGCTAAACTATGGGAAGATTTTTTTACTTACTGTAAAATCTTTTCCTCTGAGCTCACTGAAAGACACAGAACCCACCTATCTGGATTGCTGCTGTCTGTATATGTAAATACATTTATGTTGTTTGCACTGTTATGACATTTACATGAGTTGTTACCAGTGTTGAGGGGGCTTTGTCCCACTGGGTTGGTTATTTTTAAAAAACATTTTGCCTAGCATCCAATTCATGCAACTGGCACTAGAACCCCAGGCAAAAAGTATGGAATCACCACTCTTGGAAAATGTTCATTCAATTGTTTGTGTAGAAAAAAACCTAATCATAGGCATGCCTCAAAACAATTTTCATTTAACATTCCAGAGGGGCCCGGAACTCAGATCCTGCATGCTGCGTGTAGTGTGTTGATGTCCACGAGGGAGAGCCATGCCTATCCTTTATGGGAGAGCGGTTTTGCTGATATCTGTTTGGAGGAGACCTTGAAAGGAGAGGAACATATGCCACCATTGAGGGGGATCCTGTGAGGAATTAATACCTGTAAGGATCGGTGTGATCTCAAAAGTGAGCTAGCCCTTGTGGTCAATGCAAGGAGGTGAGGGGGCATTTTGGCCACTGAAGGATTGACACTATTGCTGTGACCACCTATACACATCACTTGCACAAAATTGCAGTTGGAGCACGTATTTATGTTTAATTATTTTTGGACTATATTCTTATTCCAATTTGGGGGTTTATTATTATATGTATATATTTGTATTTTGTTAACTGTGGTGTGTGACACTTAGCACTGTTTGCATTGCTTATATCCCCAGGTAGGGGACTCACGTTTTGCACTAATTTATATAAGAATATTGGATCCCTCAATTGTGGATTAAGGGGGATTGAGTTTGCTTTCACTAAATGTTATTTTTTTTGCATTTTTTCTTCACAGTTATCATCATATGTCACCATTTGATCTTTGAGAAGATCATAGCACATTATATTATCACTTTGATTTAATTCTTTGAGTATTATATAATTTATTAGGCCCAACCGGTAATCGGCTCATTACATGTGCCTCAGCCAGTTTTGCTCATCAGCTCTACTATTGCGCTCCACCATGTAAGGCTTTTTTATTGTGTCAACTTAATAAATTATTCCTACTTTGGACATTGCTGTTCTGTGTGAACTTTACAGCCACAAGACTGTCACTTGCATTTATGGTAGTTATTGAAGCCCACCTTATACTGCTATTCACACACAATACTAATGTCATGGGAACCACACACCGGTACAATGTTATGGTAGTATTTTGAATGCAATAGCCACACAGTATATATACTCACTCAAGTCATCACTGTTCACGCATGCGCATTCCAGTCCACTCTCCTTAGCTGCCAGGTTACATCAATGTCTCACAAACTGTTCTCGTTATATTAACAATGGTTAGATTTTTTTCCAAACAGACCTTGTATATAGTTAGGAAAAGCCCCTTGTAACATCAAGGGCTCGTTCACACTTGACTGTTTTACCAACTCTTGCCAAACGCCCCTATAGCGTTTGGCAAGCATTGGTCCGGCGTTTGCGGAGCGTTTTTTAACGCTCGGCAAACGCTCCGGAAACACCGCATGTGTGGTTCAGCGGCAGTTGCTAGGCGTTTGCCGAGCATTATAAACACCCCACAAATGCCTATAATGAAGTTTGGATGGTGTTACCGCTCCGCAAACGCCTGGCAACCGCATCGCAACTGTACGGCTGGCGTTTACGGAGCGGCATCATAGACTAGAATAGGAGGCTTCAATGCCTCCTGACTCGACCAGAGTTGTCCATTTTGCCACACCGCGACGCGTAGCTACCGCTCCCGTTAGAACAGCACCATGTGCTGCAATGGGCAGAATTGTCCGAGACGTTTGGGAAGCGGTAAAAAAGGCTTCCCAAACGCCTTTCTGCCGCTTGAAAACAAGGCTAGTGTGAACGTAGCCCAACAGTTGTGTATCTCCTGTGCCAAGTCATGATACCAATGGCAAGTTTTTGGTCACATGGTTTCTGCTATTGTAAGGGATCCCTGATCAGACAAATTTCCTACCTGTAGGCTAGTCGCCCAAGATCCTCAAGCAGATGACCAATGCCTCAGCATTGTTTATGGAATTGGGCAACAGAGGGACGGGAATTCCTTTTAGTAAATAAGCACGATAGGTTTTTCCATGCTTCCTCAACTTGTCTCAAGGTATACCTTTCTCCTAACAAAATGCCCCCAGCTGAGAATTTTCTTTTCAAGTTATCTAAAGCTACAATTTTTTTCACATGCTGGAAGGACAAGATTTTTACAAATCTCTTTTAATACAAGTCAGAGAAAAACAACTGAATGCCCTATGCGATACAATTACCTTTAGTGCTAGTTCACATATATGCGGATCGGATGCTGGTTGAAACCGCGTCCAATCCGCATGACATGTGAAAAAAACATTGCTTCCTATGGTGCTTGTTCACATATGTCTGGTGCACTGGCTGTGCAGATTCAGTGCGGTTTGAAAAGGAGTCATGTATGATTACTGAGCAGTGCGGTCAGGTTCAGGTACGAATTACAGGCTATTGACTTCTATGGGAACTGCTTCTAAATCGCATATGTGTGAACAGAATAATGCCGAGAGCTAATCCTGTCCTGAACCTGATGTAAACTGGACATGAACCAGTGAACAACTACTGTATCAATTAGCTGTGAAACCTGAGCTTCAATCAGCACCGCACGTGTGTGAATCAGCTCTTACAGCTTCAGGTGCCTAACAGCATGCACGCTACATTTGTTTACTAGGCTGCCCATACACAGGTCATTTTTTTCTTTCAACCAGTGAGTTGAATGACAGAAAATGGCACGATTCCCCCATTCACACATTGTTCTCTGACAGCAGGGAGATTTCCCCACTGTCAGAATACACTCATGAGCACCACTAGCTATAGCTGGCTGGCTGTACACAAGCTGATCAATAGATTAACTTGTGTACAACCAGCTTGCCCATACATGGATCAAAATTCAGTCGTCTCTGCTAAACCGACCAAATTTCCATCCATGAATGGCTAGCTTTAGAAACTGTTTTACTTTTTTTAAGTTTTTTATGTATGGAAAGATGTATGAAAGGATTACCACCTCTGTCAAGGCTTTATTGCTGTCTCAACAGATTCTAGCCTTTCCCTACTTACTACTCTGCCCAAAATCTCCTTGATGGGAATTATTTCCCCTGTATTTTTGGTTACAGTGACAACAGTCACTGATGGCTACAGAGACAAGCTTCTCCAATGAGGACATAGATTGTTTTAGATAGAGTTATATATAGTTTAACCGCTTATGGAACGCCTTCCATGGTTTTACTACGGCAAGGCGACCCCTCTGTCCAGGATCATGTACATGTACGTGATCTGGCATTTCCAGATAGGGGGTGCACGCGTGCACACCTGCCACCCCATCTATTCTTTCATTTGCTACAGCACAAGTCGATTAGCAGGTTCTGGCCAATGATTTATGGCCGAGACCTGCTGATTGGCTGAGCGAATGACAGAACAAAGCCCTGTATTGACAAACAACACAGGGCTGCCTACAGAGAGTAGCAATGTGGCTGTTTTTTTCTTGCTGCTAAAAGAACAAACACATTGCTTAGTAAAAGAAGTACATGCTACACACAGTACACATTGTTAGGCACACAGTTAGACCTTTGATTGCCCCTAGATGTTAACCCCTTCCAAGCCAATGTCATTAGTACAGTGACAGTGTATATTATTAGCAATGATCACAGTATTAGTGTCACTGGTGATATCAATGTCAGTAAGTCAATTCCCACAACGTGTCACTTAGTGCAAGAATGCCCGCCGCACAAAAACACTTTCACTATAAGTTGCTGATCACCATTACAAGTATAAAATAAATAAATAAAAATTCCAATATATATCCTATCGTCTGTAGATGCTATAACTTTCATGCAAACCAATTAATATTCACTTATTACCAAGACATGTAGCAGAATACATTTTGACCTAAAGATTTTTTTTTTTTAATTTTTATAGCAGAAGGTAAAAAATATTGATTTTTAAAAATTTTTTTTGTCTTTACTTGTTTTTATAATAAAAAATAAAAAACCCAGTGGTGATCAAATACCACCAAATGAAAGCACTATTTGATCGTGGATCGCCTTTGCTGCGTCTAATTGCAACACAGCCAGGGCGGCGCACACGCGTGCCCCCTACCCGGGAGAGCTGGATCATGTACTACTTTGTACTGCCTTGTCGCCGCACATCTAAGTAATGCCTTTGGCAAGAGGATAAATTAGTGCAGTGCCAAATATCAAAAATGGCCTGGTCATGAAGGGGGTAAAAATCTTTAAAAAGCTTAACATTAAGTAGTCACCTCATTCTCTCAAACATCACTTCAAATATTTAAATGTATTTGTTTTTTTTACATCTACTTACTCTGTTGGCATATGCATAGCCTTTCGGTACCAGGTGTTCTTTTATGAAAGTTGATTTTCCCGCTAAAAAAAAAGAGAATGCATTAGTTAGGGGCTAATCTGATTATCTTTTCATACTTTATAAATATTAGGAATATGAGAAAATATATGAAAATAGCAAAGCATTAATAATCAAATCAAGAGGCTTACAAATGAAAAGTTTAATTTAAGTGTACGTATACCCTACATTCACCTATAGCAACTACTACTGCTTTTTGTTGCTTCTGTACAGCTAAAATACTTACGTAAATTTTCATGCAATGTAGACGTGCACACGAAAGAATAAATTAACCCATTCTGCTCCATGTAAGCATATTCCTTTTTTTCCTATACTGTTCCCTGGAAACAAAGGGGAACCACCCCTATCGCTAAAGCATGTTATAAACAGAGGCCATAATTTCTGCTTTGATTCTGAGCTTAACCCCACCTCCAGAACTGAGTCTTTCCCTTGCTGATAAAAATTCTTAAATGGTAACTCCACGTTTGTGGGGAAAAAAGAGGAAATAAACAAATATAATATAGCATGTACAATTTCTACACACACATTTTGTAATTGAACGTTATAAAAAATTACAATTTCTTTTCAATCTGCAGCACTGTAAATTTCTATAAAATTTAATTCAATATGGTAACCTGGAGGTGTTCAGTTTTCACTAAGATACAAGTCAGATGTTAGGCACCCTCTGCAACAAAAAATTAATTTTTAGTGACGCACACTCAAAGGGTTAATTAACAATTACTTGTAAAGGGATGCGGACATTGAAGGTTTCAGCACTGGAACACTGCAAGTTCATCAACTGATTAATAACGAAAATGTAATTCCCATTCAGATTCACTCTGTACATCGACAGACAGAAGAAAAAAAAAAAAAAAAACAGAACCCCCCCCCCCCCCCCAGCTTTTTCTTCAGAGCAGAAACAGGTAGGGACATGCAACCAAGTTTGTTAAAATCATAGCAATGTAGATTGATCACCCAGGGGGAATTTTTGGCAACACAAGTATGGTAAATCTATGTGAGAGCTTCAGTAACCAATGGGGGTTCCTACAGCTAGAGCAGTAAACCAGCCCTCAGTACAGAGCATACCTCCAGAAACAGTGCCTCCTGCCTGAAGTGTATGACTGAATGTATGTATGTATGTATGTATGTATGTATGTATGTAAAAAAACAAATTCATGTTACATCTGAAATACATGCACATTTTACACATTTTGTTACTTTAAGAACACTGCAAATACAGATAAATAGGTTTGTTGACTTATCTGGAAAATCCTTTTCTTGGAGTACAGTACAGGCCTTTAACTACCTGAGCTCCACAAGATTTTACCCCTTTCCTGACCAGGCCATTTGTTGCTATTCAGCACTGCATTACTTTAACTGGCAATATGAATATTTTATCATTTTTTTCAAATAGAGCTTTCTTTTGGCGTTATTTGAACACCACTGAGTTTTTATGTTTTGAGATATAAACAAAAAAAAAAAGGTCTATGTCTAAAAACTATATCTATTTGAAAATTGATCAATTTCGATGTGTCTGACTCATTTCTTGAAGCCCTAAAATGCCAGGACAGTACATATTCCCCCAAAATTACCCCTTTTTGGAAAGTAGTCTGAGGTATTTAGTAAAGAGGCATAGCAAGTTTTTGAAGTTGAAATTTTTTGCAACAATTTTAATTTTCTTACATACTGTCACCAGTAAAGTGCAGCATCATCATATGACTTGTGTAGCGGTGATCACGGACACTGACTGGTGAAAGTGTGTAAAAAAAAAAAAAATACTTTTTATTCATTTTTTTTTTTCATTTTTCCTTTTCATTTGTTACATTTTTTTGTACATACTTTCATTATACTTATTACTCATTATAGTAGTTCAGTGTCACCATAGTAACACTGTACTACTCTGAAGGGGTGATCAGGGATTTATTTTTTAATACTTTGCTGTTACAATGAAGATCACTAACAGCAATGTTTTCAACTCTCATGAAAGGGTGAACCTGTGATCACTAGTGATCTGTAACTGGCTACAGCTAATCACATGGTACAAAGTGCTTTGCTTGGCCAAGGTATACCATGTGACAGCTGTGGGTCAATCACAACTAGGAAACACAGCTGTTATGAATAAATTCATTCATAACAGCCTTGTTGACACTATGATTATGTGATACGTGATTTTGCCTACAGGTGCCGCCCAGACGCAGTACCTGTACTGTGGCTGGTTGGGAAGTGGTTAACTCTTAACTATGGGTTGTATGCTGCCACCTTCAGGTCATTCGACACAGACAAAAAACAAAAGGGTCATTACCCATATAATGCCTCCTACTACCAACAAGACTTATTCTTGTCCTTAACCACTTCCCGACCATCCTATAGCATAACTACTGCTACAGAGTGGCAGAACTGCACAAAATCACGTACATATACACTTGATTTTGTATCTCCGGGTAGGGGGTGCACGTGCGCTGCCCTACCTACACCCCAATTGGTGGCTACAGCTGTCGATCACTGAGTCCCTGCTGGCACCTGGTGATCGCGGAGGAACGCTGAGAGGTGTGTATGTAAACAATACAGATCTCTCTCCTGTCAGCACCAGCATGCTGCTTTATGATGCTCTGCATGGCAGAGTAATACAAAGCAGCGTACTTACATAGTAAAGCACACACAGACAACACAGTAAAACAGCTGACAGTTAACCCTTTGATCGTCCCAGATCTTACCCTCTTCCTGCCAGTGTCATTCGTACAGTGTCAGTGCTTTTTATTAGCACTGATCACTGTATTAGTGTCACTGGGGATATCAGTGGCAGTTAGTCAGTTCCCCCCACAGTGTCAGAATGCCCGCAGCAGTCCTGCAATAAGTTGCTGATCGCCGCCATTACTAGTATAAAAAAAAAAAAAAATCCGGTACATATACCACCATTTGCAAACGCTATAGCTTTCACGTAAACCAATTAATTTACATGTATTGGGATTCTTTTTAGCAAAGACTTAGCAGAATACATTTTGGCCTAAATTTATTATGAAATTTCATTTTTTACTATATATTTTTTATATCAAAATTCGAAAAAAAAATTATTTTTTTTTTTTCAAAATTGTCAGTCTTTTTTTGTTTATAGCACAAAAATATGACTGCACAATTGTCAGTTAAAGTAATGGCCTGGTCAGGAAGGGGGGTAAATCCTTTGGAGAGCAAGTGGTTAAGAATGAACAAGAAAAAGTGATTTATCAGTGAAGGCCTCCAACCCAACATACAACAGTATGTAAGCTAAACAGTACCAGTAAGGTTTACTGAAACACCACTTGTAGAGCAGGAGGGAAAAACAGTAATTTGTGACTAGGTTACCTTAGGCTGGTACAAAATAGTGTAATGTGCGGTCCATCCATAGAGAAGGAAGAGTTAAAGGTTTCTGCAGTACCCTAGGCCACTACACAAAACATTATATAAGTGCAGCTATACTCACAATGGGCTCTCACAGACACATAGTAAAGCAGGACAAGCAATGGCCATTGTCTCTAGGTCACCACAGGCCACCAACTGTTTGCAAAAGTGCTATTACCAGCAAGGGCTACTCATGGTTACTCACAGACTGACTACAAAACAAAAGCTTTGTGATCAGGTCACCATAGGCTATCATACAACAGCAGGCGAGTCAATACCAGTAAGGGTTACTCAGTGCAGTGTGGGTCAGGGGTAACAGTTGATGTGACAATGTCACCACAGGCCATTGTACAGACAGTATATAGTGATACAGTACCACAAAGATACTCATGAACCCACTGCAGAGCAGTAGGGGTTGATGGCCATGCGTGATTAGGTCACTATAGACTGCTGTACTAACAGTACACAGTGAGAGGCTGCTGCAGTGCAAGGGGGGTAATGGTTGTGCTTGACTAGGTAGCCACAGGCCCTTGAACAACAGTTCAAAATTACCAAGTAAGATTACTCACTGACTCACTGCAGAGCAGTAGAGGTGAAAGGTCCTGAGTCAAAGAGTTCTCTGCAACCCCGATAAAGCAGCAGTTGAACACAACATGAAAAACATTCCAATTGCTGGAGAACAGAGAGATCAGTGAGGATAGATACTGGATCCTTTGGACCATACTCCCATGGTCTGGCAGATGGACATAATGGCTGCATGGCAGAGCCTGTTAGGGAAAATAAGGCCTTACAAAAGCTTCCAATCATTGATCTAAAGGATCTTTGAACACTGGATTGTTCTCAACAGGGACTGTTAAGAGTCTTGTTAAGATAGGAAAGTGTAAAACTGGTATGGTCCACTTCTCCTCAATAGGATACCGCTGAGCAAAATGCTTGGGAGGGGTAAATAACTTTATTGGATTAAGGCAGTCACAATACCAAACTGGTTCCAGCAAAGAGTGTACTGGGAATATTTTGACATGTTGGGGACTTTTAAGGGAGCCCAGACAGGCAACCTTAGAAATTTCAAATGCTAACTTCTCCAAGACTTGACAGGTACGAACTGTGCCAATAAAGACCGAAAGGGTATCCTTAAACCTAGAAGTAATGCCAGTCACAAACTCGCCAATAAAGACATGTTACAATACTCCAGCTGACTGCACAGAGGCAGGCAAATTAGAGACAGGCTCTGAAGGGTAATGTAAAGAAGCATGCTTGTGCCTCCTGTATTCTGAGTACATTATCATGAAGATGATTTTTGCCATAACATCTGACATTGTTACAGAAAATTAATTCCTAGGTAATGCAGAGGAGGGGGGCCACATTTGAGAGACACAGGGAAGGCTTTAAGGAGCATAAGGACTAGGGATGCATCAACATTTCGGCCACCAAAACATATCGGCCTAAAAGGGCCCTATAGGCATTCTGCCGATAAGAAAAATTTAGCCGATACAGGAGACTGTGTGTACTGCAGATGCTACTAGGTAGCAGTGGAGAGTGGCTACAGCAGTGCCCTAGGGCAGTGTTTTTCAACCTTTTTTGTGCAAAGGCACACTTTTTTTCATGAAAAAAATCACGAGGCACACCACCATTAGAAAATGTTAAAAAAAAT